GGCACTGTGGACAAACACAAAATTAAATACTGAATCAAACTCAAAACCTTTAGTGAGTAAATAAATATTTTGTACATATTACATTAATCAAACACTTTTGCACGTAAAAAATTTTATGTAAAAATGAAAAAAAAAAAAAAATTGTCTTTCTGTAGGATTACACAATTACTGGTGAACTAGTAGTTTCCATTGTGGTCCTTGCAAACACATGAAACAAATGGTCTAAATTGAACATAACATTATTAAGAACATGATTAAGAACCCAAACCGGCGGGCAGCAAACCAGTTGGCTACTTACAAGCGTGGCCAAGGATCTGAACTCGGGGCTACCGTGAAACAAATCCAGTGGTCAGGGTGGGACTTGAACCCGGGAGCAGCCCTCTTTGGTCACAGCAGTTATTGGGAATGAAAATAATTTAATTGGATTCATACAGTAGCTTTTTTCGGTTGCTTCTTTGATTAGGAAACTATGGCAACGGTAGTGGAACTGAAAGTACAAAAATGCGTATCACTACAATGGCAATGATTTTTTTTTTTTTTTTTTTTGTACCGAGTTCATCTGACAAGGACAGGGGCAAAGCTGAAACGCTCACAATATCTTTAAAAACCCATTTTCTCACACCACCCTTTCCATGTTCTGAGTCTACATACAACACAATCTGTTTCAATATGCCAAACAGCTAGGCCAATGATGTAAATTGGTGAGTGAAAGCAAGAAAACAGTTTTACAGCTTCAGTATATCCAGCCAAGCTTACCATTTACTGTCACCATAACATATGAACTGACTCCTGATCCTAAAGAGTTGTTGGCCACACATTTGTACGCAAACACTCCGCTCGTTGACACGTTTCTTTTCCACACTCCTAAAGGCTTTACAACTAAGATAGCAGCGTCGTTCTCGAACAGCTGGTATGATGTCACCGATGGTCTAGCATCAGCTGAGCAGTTAAAGCTAATCATGGCACCCTTACATGCTTTGTTATCTATAGCAGATGTTGTAAGTTGTACATTCTCTGGTTTGTCTAAGAGAATTGCAAACAAATTGTGTCAAATATTGTAGATAGTAAAAAGCTCACTGCAATCATTTTTTCCCTCGGGTTATACTAAAGTACGCATAGAAATTTAAAGTTCTATTTGATCTAAAACACTGAGGGCGGGTTATTTAAACGAAGTCTAAGTTAGACATTGTTTAAGGCAAACACACGGTGTAAAAGTTGTTTCGATAGTTTTCCACTTAATTCATCAGGCAAGACGGGAATTGTCCTTTCCGTCTCGCCTTGACATCCTGTGAAAGACGGTGCCTGTAGAAAACACTGGGACGCCAAAAGACCCAGTTGCATAAAATTTCAGAGCAGTGAAGACTTGCTGCGTATTTTTTGGTGCCGAGTGGCAGAACTCTTCTTGTTTGATATTTGAGATCGTACTCCACACTTTTAATGAGGTCTGCAAGTGAATCCTCTCTGAAGTGAAAGCGAGTTCGAAAATCTTCTAAATTCCTCTAAACGGTTAATTCTATCCGTAAGTTGCCTAATTTTTCTACACTATGTATGACGTCTATCGGCGTGCTCCCCAACTGTCTGAAACACGTAGTGCGTACATTTTAAAGTGGCTGGCAATGAAAGTGCCCCACGAACAGCGTCTAAACCAACTTCCGAGCAGGTTTAAGTCGTTATTGTTCTTTAAGCGGTGGTTAATCATGGTCTTAACATGGGTTAGACGGTTATTTTCATAAACGCTGTTTAAACTTTTTTTAAAATAATCGACCCTGATTGTTTAGAAATGTAGTAGGTACTTCAATGTACATAAGTCGATGTAAAACTAAAACAAAAACGAATGGGTGAATTGATTTAATCAAGTACTAAACCAACACCGAGCTTGATATAGACATAATAATAATTAAGTGAATACTTTGCTGTTACCTTTTGTTGTCTCAATGTATTGCGAATTGCACACATTAGTTTGTATACATTGTTTTATATTACCTTTACCTTCATTCCAATTTAAACAAGTTGTACACGTGTATATCATACATGTAACAAAAGCTACCTCCAGTGAATCGATTGACATAAACTTTAGAGGAGAACATACGCACACACTTACACTGCACATCAATGCTTGTCATCTCTGTTGCATTGCCACACTCATTACTGGCTTCACATTTGTATTCACCAGCTTCACTCCTGCTAACGTTTTCAACCTTCAACGGGTTTCTACTAACACGTTGACCATTAGGTGTTATCCAAGACACCATTGGTGGGGGAACTCCAGATACATCGCACATAAGAGTCACATTGTCACCTTCAGTTACATTCTGATGTTGTGTTATTTGGATAATTGAAGAAGGTACTGCAAAATGGAGAGTGAAAATGAGCAAGGGCTTGAATACATACAGCAGCTGG